ATTCTGCCTTAAAAACAAACTTTCTCATTCTCTTTCAGCTTTCCCCACAGCGAATCACCTGTCTCCGTTTAGTGCTAGTCCATCACCCTAAACCCTGCTCTAGGGCTGCTCGATTATGGCAAAAATAATAATCATGATTATGGTGACTGAAATTGAGATCACGATTATTTAGGACGATTTTTCTATTTATGCTGATTTTATTTGTTTTTATTCAGTCATAAAATTGCTCAGGGCACAATCAGGACAAAAATAAATAAGAAACAAGATGATCACTAAAATAACTCCTGATTCCCAGTATAAAAAAACCAGTATACTTACAGCTCATAGTTTATGACCCAAGGGCTATAGACCTTGGTTTAAGTCTAACCAGTACAGACCCAAATACCAATATCTTGCAAATACTGACAGCAAGAATTATACAGTAGCATTTATAACAAATAAATGCAAATAAATTGATGTTCACAAAATGTTGCATAACATTTATTGAGTCGTGTCAAGGTGCTGTAGGAGAGTGCACTAGCACCGTGTCCTCAGAGAGATTAGTTATTATTTATCAGCGTGAGGAACTTATTTCTACCTATTTATAAACTATTTATTTACAAGTCCATCAGTTAATGTAATAATTGTCCCAACCACAGCTGCACCCCCCACCCCCCACCCCAGTCTCACAGCAATCAGGGGCAAGCTGCACGTGTGTTTAGCACGCCGCACACGCACATTTAGCCGTTTTTAGCGGCTCAGGAGTCCGCAGGTACGGTGTGTGTGTCACTCACTCTGGTTAATCCAACAGTGAGCCATATAACTGTTTCTTTAGCGACTGACACATCACTACATCATTCCCTTTCCTAATGTCCTGAAGAACGGTCCGGAGCGCAGGCGGAGTGTTTAGCTAACCTGCAGGAAACGTCGATGACAGTTATCCAGAAAGTAGCTAAGGGTTACCAGAGATGTTTCTGAGGTGTTCGCTAGGTACTTTTAAGATTTAAAAAGTCAAGAAGGGGGTCTGAAAAGCTGTTGGAAATAGGGTCAAAGTCGCTAAGTTGGCAACACTGTGGGAGGAGCGCTTCATTTGCAACTCAGGGCAGTGCAAGTGGGAGGAGCAAATAATCGGCTTGTTTAGTTTTTTATAATCGTTCAAAACTCAGATCGTAATCGTGATTAAAATTCGATTAATTGAGCAGCCCTACCCTGCTCTGTTTACGGCAGTAACTCGTAAAAACGTGGAGCCAGCCAACACTGAGAGGTATGTGAAAAAACAAAGAGAGATTGCCTACGCACACCAAAAAGGTCACAGCCAAGATAGCAGTCTTCATCGCACTAGATGACTGTCTATGGATGCAAACATGTCCGGTTTTTCAGTTTCCTGCAGCCGTGGTATAATTTTTGTTCTTGCCACTATTTTACACTCGCAGCCCTACAGATGTTGTGAAGAGAATAAGGAGCCAGCTGTGTTACAGGAATGTGCATCGTTCAGTACAGCTAGGGTTGTCACGGTAACCGGTGTAGCGGTAAACCCCGGTAAAGAAGTTGACAATAACAATAACCGTCTTGTTTATTTAAAATAATATATAATCTCGGTGGGTTTACGTGGCTGCGGTGTAGGCATGGTGACCCTTACCAGCCACCGTATCATCTGCTGAAGTTGCCGGCGGCACATGAAGCACTTTGTTGTTTACGACCAAAACTTTCTTGAAGCTAAAGCTGAAATAATGGCCAAAGGAGGAGACGGCAGCGCTCAGGACATTTATTATCCCTCAAAGAAGACAAAGTGGGAAGTACGGGCATTTTTGGATATTTGAAGAATGCCGAGGGACAGTTTATAGAAGGCTGCTATCCTGTTTGCAGCACGTGCAGAAAAAGTGTCTGTGAAAGGCAGCAACGCTTCAAATCTCATGACACATCTGCGTGACCATCACCCACAACTCTACAGTCAACGCAAGGCAAGCTAACGTTAGCGTTTTAGCTAAAATGCGTGATCCGAGGATTTAGGTTAAGGGAGAAAGCAACGAGTCGCTATATAAAGCAGCCGCAGCGCCGCTACCTGCATATAAACCGTGTCGCGGACACCCCCATGTTGAAATGACGCTATGCATTACGGGGCTCCCAGGGGCAGATAAGAGTTGGTCTCTCTCCGAGAATAATTATGAATTTAACAACGATTACTGCCTGATGACATTTTCCCACATCTGCAAAGCTCACTGGAAGGACACAAACCGAGGACAATATTTTCCTGATATAGGGTTTATTACTCAAGTAAGGGTAAAAAAGTATCTGATTAGAAGGCTACTTGAGTACTTATTATCATCTAATCTAATGTTTTTAAAATGATGACATCAAACAGACAAAAAATAAGAAGTTATGGGCAAATATTGGTATTTTAAAGACTAAAGGGGAAAAATGTAATCAAATAAACAACATAATTACAAAATAACAGATTTTAGGCAAAATTTAGACACAAACTGAGGACAATATTTTCCTGATATACAGGGTTTATTTTGCGGTCTGAAAATGTAACACGTTTAAAAAAATACCGCAGTAATACCGAAAACCGTGATAATTTTGGTCTCAATAACCGTGAGGTTACATTTTCACACCGTGACAACCCAAAGTACAGCAACTTATTTTTTGCTGAAAATGTGTATAAATGAGTGTCTATTAGTGCTGTAGACATGTGGACTCATTATTTTGGCATTTCAGTGCATCTTTTTGCAAAATGAATATTCTGCCTAAAACGGTCAGTGTTGCACCCTCTTCAGCTTAAAAGTGCGTTCCACATTTGTTCTGAATCAGTTATCACTATTGGCTAAGCTGGTATCACCTATGTTAGCCAGTTTTCTGGCCTAGCTGCACTGGACTAGAGCAGAGTCTCGGCCACGCCTCCGGATGCCGCGATACGGCTCAGAGCCTCTCTCCTCCACCGTTAATCCTCCCTCAGTTCCCCTTTCCTCTGGTGAAGAAATACTCCGTTAGCCTGGCAAGCCAGACTAAAATGATAAATGACCCGCACTTGTATAGCGCCTCTCAGAGTAAGGACTCCAAAGTGCTTTACACTACAGCGTATCATTCATCCATTCACACACACATTCACACACTGATGGTGATGAGCTACGATGTAGCCACAGCTGCCCTGGGGCGCACTGACAGAGGCGAGGCTGCCGAGCACAGGCGCCACCACCAGCAGGCAAGGGGGGTTAAGTGTCTTGCCCAAGGACACAACAGCAGAATTCTCTGTCCGGAGCCGGGATCGAACCTGCAACCTTCCAATTACTGGACAACCCGCTCAACCTGTTGAGCTACTGCTGCCCCAATAATAAATGTATTATTTAGTCTGGCCACGCTCCATTGATGGCTCTCGGTTGTGGGGGCGGGTTCTACCGTTGTCTTTCAAATGATCTCTGCATGCTACTGGACAATGAATGTGACATACTCTTGTTTCACTCTGTTGCCTCATCCCACCCACCAGGCATATAGAGTGCCCTGATTGGCCCACAAAGCGGATAAAGCTCTGTGATTTGTTCACTAAGCAGATAGAGCACTATGATTGGCCCACCATTATGGACCAATCACAGCTCTTTATCTTTATGCATTTGAAACCCCTCTAGAGAGCTGTGATTGGCCAGCCAGAGTCCTGGTAGGAGCTGCGGAGGTTCCAATGGAGCGAGCCTAGACCAAACTTTGCAAAGCAAGAATTTGGTCTAGTTCGCTAGGCTAGGACTCTGCTGTATTTAGGGAAACGGTAGCTCGGGAGATAGAGCAGGTTTTCCAGTTATCGGAAGCTTGTAGGCTCGAGCCTGGCTCCAGCCAGAGGACTCTGCTGTTGTGTCCTTGTGCAAGACACTTAAGCCTGATGGTGGTGGTCAGAGGGACCGGTGGCGCCTTTGTCAGTCCGGCCCATGGTAGCTGTGGCTACATTGTAGCTCATCACCACCAGCGTGTGAATGTCTGTGTAAATGAGTGGATGACTGTGTTGTAAAGCACCTTAAGGAGGTTGTAGAACCCTAGAAGGTGCTATATAAATACAGGTCATTTACCATTCAATGTCTGAGGTGTGTGTGTGTTAGTGATGTGTCCGTCACGAACGAACCGGCTCTAAGAACCGGCTCTTTGAAGTGAACGATGGGAGCCGGCTCGTCATTGGGAGCCGTCCCCTTCCCTCCCCCCTCCCCTCTTGCTTTGGTGAAAGCTACAGGTGATTGGTCAACATGTGTAACTGCGTGTCCAGACTGTCCACACACAGAGCAGTAGGGGCAGGGAAGTGGGAGGATCAGAGTCAGACACACAGCAGAGCACATGCGGGTGGAGGGAGACTAGAGGGAATGAGGAGGAGGAAAAAGGCGAGCGAGCAAGCGAGCGAGCGAGCGAGCGAGCGAGAGAGAGAGAGAGAGAGAGAGAGAGAGTGTGTGTGTGACGAAGGCGGTGAGAGCGCCAGCAGTCGGAAAGTGGACATTTCTCAAAGTGATCAGTTATTAAATCCATAGAACTGATAAATATTTGAAATATTGCATTTTTTTTAGATTAGTAAATCATTTTACATATAGTTTTGCATTATTTTGGTTATAAATGGACTCTACGCAACAGAAAATCTGAGGAGCCACTTGGGAGCCGAAAGTGCCGGCTCTTTTTGGTGAGCTGAGCCAAAAGAACCGGCTCTCTAAAAAGAGCCGGAATTCCCATCACTAGTGTGTGTGTGTGTGTGTGTGTGTGTGTGTGTGTGTGTGTGTGTGTGTGTTTAAATTAAACCGAAAGTAGTTCATCTAACAGGAGAAAACTTGACACAGAAACAGCTAACTGCGCACGACAGCATCGCGCGACGACAGAGCTGTGGCGCGAGACGAGTGAACGGTTTAACAATAAAACAGGAAGAACGAACAGCTTGTTTGGTTGTTGTGTAATCCGAAAGGATGTTCCTTCCCGTTAGAAGAAGCAGGTGGCGATAAAACAAAAGACTGTTCTCGCAGCAGCGAGCTCAGCAAGTTAGAGGAAACGCAAAGCTAGCCGACCTGCGTGCGTGATGTCCGACAGGTCGTAGTTCCTGGCGCTGCGAGGAAACTCCTTCAGCTTTCTGTTGGACAGGTTGAGAGCCCCGCTCGCTGCAGCTTCCTCCAGAGCCTTCTCCACGCTCCGGCTGGCCGCTACTGTGGCCGGCAGCTGGGCTCCATCACCAGCAGCCATCAAACGGACAGGTCTACCTCCTCTTCTACTTAGTTTGCTGCGTCCGCTCCACTTTCATCCCCAGTAGGTCCGTAAATCCGCCCAAAGTCCCTCTTCCTGATTTAAACCTACTTAAAAGTACAAAAATAGATGAACTAAGAATCGCCTAATGGTGGGTTTTGTTCTCTTCCTTCATACAACAGCGAACCAAACGAAGGAACTGTCAGTCTTTCAGGAAGTTGTTCCAAGCTAGCGAAGCTGAGCAAAAACATCCGTTTCAAGACTTTCTGTGCCTTCAAAATAAAAGTTTCACAAAAAGATGCGTTTCTTTTCCTGATTTGAATCTGCTTCATCGCTGTCCACACACTATAGGTTTTACTTCACTTTACTTAACATTGTTTCAAGAAAATAGATGAAAATTTTCACAAACATGAAAGGAAGCTAATAATTTCAGCATGGCATTTTGAACATATGTTGTACGTGATAAGTACTTGAATGGCCTGCATTTTTAAAGCACCTTCTTAGGGTTCTACAATCACCAAGGTGCTTCACAACATAATCAGTCATCCACCCATTCACACACACATTCACACACAGGTGGGGATGAGCTATAATGTAGCCACAGCTCTCAAAGGTGACCGAGGCCTGCCTGGTGCCACTTGTCCATCCAGCCACCATCAGCAGGCAAGTCGGGTTCATTGTCTTGCCCAAGGACACAACAGCAGAATTCTCTGGCGGGAGCCGGGATTGGACCTGCAGCCTTCCAATTATAATAACCCTCTCTACTTCCTGAACTATCGTTGTCCCTACCGCTTTAGAAACAACAAAGACAAATTTTGAAATCTTTAAAAAATCTGACTATCAGCATTATAAAGTAACTTTAGGAGGGAAGTATTGTTCATTAATCCCCTGAGGTAAATTGTTTATTTTCAAAGTAACAGACAGTAATACCAACTGCCCACATCAAGGCAAGATAATGCAGTCCTTTATTAATGTGTATGATTTTATAGTTTTTCTCTGGATTAGAACTCGAGGCGCTTTATTTCTGTTTTATTTTGGTAGAAACAACCGGAAACTAATCTCAGCTACATGTCAGTCCGCTACATTTAGGTTTCGGAAGGGTGCAGCCTGCGCGAGGGTTCGACGGGAAGTGGGCGTGGTCTGTGGATCGAACCTATGACGAGACTATTATTTTCAGTGCTTGTTGTTTTTATTACACTTTTATAACACCGTTACAAACCACGTATTAAAACATGTTTGGTCCAGTTGGTACAATTATTTTTAAATGACACTTAATGAAAGAAAACTAAATCATTTTTAAAGAGGGTATTGTATTGTTATCTAAATGCACAATCCATTCTACATCCTATAATAACCACCACAACTGTGTGTCAAACCCATGTGCTACCTCATCTTATCAAGTGTAACTTGAAATAAACCCTGGCCCTAAATCCCAGTCCCAAAAGGACTTTGGTGTGAGCAGTCCAGCAAGCCGCTGTCAGCACTCACAAGGATCTTTGGTTGCTAGCTATCGCTACAAAAATCCAAACCAAATAACAAACAGAAAGGTGATAAGATTTTGTTCCCGTGTCTTCAGAAGACTGTGGACATTACAGTGTTGTCATTGAAGGTTTCAACATTAAAGCTCTTATACCAAATCTATTTAACAAGCCAGGAAGATGAGAGACAGAGATGATTGGCAACTAGTCAAATAAAAACAAGAAAACAAAACCAAGTTCTTGAAAAGAAAATGTGTGGTGGATTCATCCCCTCTATACCTTTTTAACAATATAAAGCAATAACTTATTAGCGTGTAATATTTGCGTATTTGATTCAGTTCAGATGGCATGACCTATTGCCAAAACACTTGAAAACTCAGTTCCTTTAAAGTCTTTGTGCCCAAGGGCTCCTGACTGCAGCCTCTGACACTGTTGACCATCACCTACTACTGGATATGCTCAGAGGCTGGGTAGGCTTATCAGGAACTGCTCTGAAGTGGTTCTCCTCTTGTCTTTCTCTGGGGCCATCTCCAAGTTTAGGTCCTCCACCACCTCCCTCACCCTTGGTGTCCCACAAGGTTCTGTGCTGGGGCCTCTACTCTTCCTCCTCCTATCTGCTTCCTCTTCAGCACATCCTGAGCTCCTTCAAAGGAATCTCCTACCATCTTTATGCAGATGACATCCAACTATACATCTGCTTTAAGCCCCATGAGATGTCTAAGCTGCAGCTGTTACACACCTGCTTAGACTCTATCAAAACCTGGATGGTGGGAGCTTTCTTCAGCTGAATGAAGATAAGACTGAGATCCTCATCTGTGCCCCAGACAAGCTGGTTCCCAAAGTCAAAGACTCTTGGTCAGCTTGCTTCTCACACCAAACCCTCTGTCAGGAATCTTGGCATGACCTTTGACCCAGCTCTCACCCTGGATTCTCATGTCAGTTCTCTTGTTCGCTCTTCCTTCTTCCATCTCAGGAACGTTGCTAAGCTGAGTCCCATTCTGTCCCGCTCTGAACTTGAGACAGTTCTCCACACCTTCATCTCCTCACGCTTAGACTACTGTAACTCTCTTTTCACGTGTCTGAGCAGAACCTCCCTGAACCGTCTACAGGTGGTTCAGAATGCCTGTGCTCGGCTTCTGACCAAGTCCTCCAAACACACCCACATCACCCCGCTTCTCCTCCAGCTTCACTGGCTGCCAGTCAACTTCAGGGTTCATTTCAAGATCCTGGTTCTGGTCTATAGGGCCTTACATGGACAAGCACCATCTTACATTGGTGATCTTCTTAGTCCCTACACCCCCAGCAGGTCCCTGGGGTCCAGTGATCAAAGCCTACTGGTTGTGCAGCACCAGGCTAAAGGTCAAAGGTGACAGATCATCTTCTGCTGTGGCCCACAGACTCTGGACCTCTCTCCCCCTGAGCCTGAGATCAGTGGACTCAGTGGTCTCCTTTAAACTCACCTGTTCAAGCTTTGGTGGGGCCTTCATCACCTCCCTCTCCTCATTCTGCTCTTTCTACTTATTCCGCCTTTCTTTCTTCTTTTCCTTAAATTTTTATCACAATTTTCATTTGTAGTCATTTGAAACAAATTTTTAACAATTAAAAACATTTTTTATTTTATTTTACATCTTGTGTATTTGTGAAGCGCCTCATATTTGTCTTGAGAGACGCTATTTAAAAGATAGTTTTCTTCTTTCTTACTTTTTTCTTTCTAAGGGGGTCATCCATCATGGGGGTGCCACAAATGGAGGAAGAAAACAAGTGTTTCACTTGACTAGTAAACTAGTAATAATGAGGCCACTGCGGCACCCCTTTTGTGTTCTAAATAAAAAACTTTAACAATAATGTAATAGTATGATAAAAAAAAAGGTGCTGACTGCTCATTCATGTGACCTTTTTAATGATGTTTGTGTAGATGTTTCATTTAGCTCAGTAGCTAGCTGCCAGCTACCACGGTTCAAATAATGTAACGGTAGCTTAGCATGAGGACGCCAACACCCTGTCAATACATCCTGAAGTTCATGACGAGTGTCTCAAGTCAATACTGTTTTGACCCTGCTGACTGACCATCCCTGTCTAGTAAAATGACAGTGGTTCGTTCACAGAGCTATCATCAGACTTTGAATTTCCACAAAGTGGGGGAGTAATCTTGCCCATGGCAACAGATTGGGTGGAGCCAGCATTGGTCCCTGCAATCAGAATCCAGCCCTGAGAAACAATCTCCACAAATTCATCTGGCAGGGCTATTCAATTCTGGGCCTCGAGGGACGGTATCAGCATGTTTTAGTGGTTTCTCTGGTCCAACACTCTTGATTCAGTGGTTGAATCACCTGTGCAGCAGCTTATCAGCCTCTGCAGAAGCCTGTTAATCCCCTACTAATTCCTCAGGTGTGTTGAAGCAGAGTTAAAACCAAAATGTGCTGGACACTGGCCTTTAAGGTCCGGAAATGAATAGCCCTGGTCTACATAAACAGGTAAGACTTAAAGGTGTGGGAAACTCATTTAATCAGTATGTTTGCAGTGGTTTTTGGTAGGAATTAATGCCATGCAAGCCGTACTCAGGGCAAAAAAGCCCAGAATTGCTCAGATCAGCACAGACAAGTCTGCTTCCGCAAAGAGTGGCTTATTTTCCCGATATTTGTCATCTTGCCTCAGATTGGATAACAGCAGCATGACTCTACCGCTGACATGCAACGTGGATGCTTTGTCTCCACAAATAACACAAGCCTGGAGGAGTTTTTCTGTGTGGGGGTGTTGCAAATGCTAACGGTCAGCTTTTACCTGTTGGGACGATGTCTGATGTTTCCTGGGCGTTTAAACAGCAACAGTCTTGAGTCAAAATGAGTGAACGTTAAGTGTGACGTAGAGCTGACAGGCTTTTCAAATTCTAGCATTTCATCATTTATTTTCAGAAGCTAATGCAGGAGATAGGTGTAGGAGACTATTATCATGTTCAGTCTGCATGAAAACCTCAGAGTGACCTGATAGGATCAGAAATAATCCTTAAAAATGTTTTTTCAGTGTTCCACACCTTTAATAAAAAACGGACAAACTAATAGTACTATTGTTGAGTTCAGAGCCGAAGAGGCGAAATATCTTCAACGTAAATAAGAAAGTTACCATTGTTTCCAACTAAACCTTCAATATTATCATGCACTGGGTGACTGAGGAGCTACACAAACAAAATGAAAGTCCACCACATTATGCACTTTGCATCATTCCCTACCATTCATTCTCAACGCCCCACCCCCACTGGACCATCTGTCAAATTCTTTGTGTGTGTGTGTGTGTGTGTGTGTGTACCGCCTACCTGGTTACTCCACGTATGTATTTCACGAGCATATTTTTACTCAGAAGTACCCCTAAAGGACTTAGTTGTTCATCTTTTTATCAAAACTTATTTAGAGCCTGAGAGGGTTAATAAATGTACTATGATGGACAATCTGTTTATTACTTTCAACTATTTAGAATTTGAAATGCAGCCCTGTTTCTAAATTATTTCTCTGGGAACCGCTTATCTGAAGGTACAGGTACAGATTAGCCATTTAGCTTGATAAGCAGCTACAGTTGCCTGTTTAAAATCAATATCCTCGTTTTCTCTTCTAATCACAAACACAGAAACGCTTCAGAGAAGCAAGCTGACCAAACTTCTACTTTTATTTGGGGCTCACACGATAGATCAGACAATTAATTTCAGTTTCAGTTTACTTATATAGGGCCAAATCACAACAAGAGTCATCTCAAGGCATTGCATCACA